CCTATTGTCCATACATTCTACTGTGTGTCCGTTGTGTAATAAGTGTTCCATTTTGTAAATTACAAAACCAGGATTGTGGTTCAAAGCTGATTGAGAACAAAATAGACAAGTATATGGAGAGCATTTCAGTATCATAATGTAGATCTTTGTCAGTTACTAGACAAGCAAGCCCACTGATGATACTGCTTTGGGAATGTTGTAAGGTGGTTGCCAAAGTATAAGAAATTGTCTACAAAAAAAGAGCAGAGATAATATGCAGTGTATGAGACCCCGTTCACACCAGGACGGATCCACCAACATGAATGATCCCACACATTGCTATGGGGACCGTTCATGCGACCGCACGGCTCCGCGCAATCCAAACCGCCTCCTGCCCGAATTGCTCACTGACCCTTTTTTGCAGCGCTGATCAGCTCGGTTTCCATACTGCTTTCAATGGAACCACACCGTTCAGCACGGTTTGGGGCGTTTTTAAAACACGCAATTAAAAACACACAAAACCACCCTTTTAAAATCTGTGTGGAAAATGCGCTGATCCGCAACCGCCCTGGTGTGAACAGAGCCTAAAGCAGGCAAAAGTAACAAACTTACTAAAACAGACTTACTAAAACAGGCACTGTGCCCAGAAGGTCATATAGGGGGTTATTCACTCAGCAGCCGAGTGAATAACTGCGCCAAAGTGAAGGGGGGCTGAACGCCGTTCGGCTATTCACTTCAGCCCTGATTTCAACCGTACATCGGATGGCTTCGGTTCAGCCCCACATGCTCAGCATGTTCAGCTAGGCCGAAGTGAAGAACACGTTCGACTCAGCCGATCCAACATCTCTATCGGCTGAGCCGAACACCCGGCAGTCCACTTGCTGTTGTTCACCCCTATTCTCATAGGGGCCGAACGGCAGTGAGCGAGTAGCCAAATGTTGCCGAGCAGCATTCGGCTCGGTTATTCTGCTCGCTACCTCCAAGGTAGCGAGCAGAATAAAAGAAATGTAAACAAAAGAAAAAAAAACAGTGTGGGGTCCCCCTCCCAAACCATACCAAACCCTTTAGGTCTGGTAGAAAAAATAGGAGGGACACCAAGTTAAAAAGTTAAAAAAAAAATGTGTGGAGTTTCTGGCTGAATCGAAAGGCTCCGGCGGCCAAAGTGAGCCGAAGGATTAACAAAAGCTACGGCTATATCCTTCGAATAACCCTCATCGTTTCTCTAGTTGAAAAGGAAGAAATAACATCTTTCTAAAAAAAATACTATTACATAAAGGAGATGTGATAGTAATAGTTTAGTGGTGGGTTTAGTGGGACATAGAGTTAAGCCATTACTGAAAATCTTGCAGTGAAGTTGTTTTCCGGTGTGGTTATCTTGCATCCCCGTGTTTATGGGGACTATAAACTGTTTTTTTTTTTAATGTGATCCAGGTAATTTTCTAGAAAGAGTCCCCTGCACAAGTGAAAGGACTTACAGCAACTGTTGCTATTAAGAACCTTTTTATTTGGAATTATGAATTTTTGCCTGCAGGGTTTTGTAACCTAGAAATGTGTTTGCCTTCAAGTTAATAATAATAATAATCATCATTTTAGGACAGTTAGCCCAATGCCACCTTTGTCAGGCAAAAAATAATCCTTGTATTGCAATCACCTTGCAGCATGTGATGGGGTCGAATGGCTCTTATATGCGGAATGGATATCTCAGCTGAGGTTGCATCCTTAGCAAGCTGAAAGCATAATACATTTGATTTCCTTTTGGCAGTTGAAGCCTGTGTACATGAGGCTTGAAGTGTAAATGCACCTTTGGTAACTGTACACCTATGGAAATGCAAAAGCAGCTTGAAGCAGGTCAAAAGCACCAGCAATGAATGCTGAATGATCTCAGAAACATCTCAAACTGATGTCAAAATCACACTGCATTTGCCCATCAAAGACCATCAACACAGGCCCTTATAATGTAGCTTCTCCTGCTCCAAACCACCAGTCATGTGCTCACCTGTCACAATCCAGAGAGTTATTGCCAATGAGGCTGCACTCCTGCTTTTCAAAAATTTCCCACCCAGGCTAGGGTTGCCACCTGTCCAGGATTCACCCGAACAGTCCAGGTTTTGAATGCTGTGTCCGGGTTTCATGGCAGCAGAAACCCGGACACAAGGGGTCAGGCAGACAGGGGCAACCAACATTAAGATAGGGGCTACTGGCCCCTAATGACAATAGTCTCAACTGTGATATTTACATATTAATGGGTGGCGCTATCTACATATGAATAAGCCACGACTCATTCTCCCAAAAAAATGTCCCCTCGTCGCTAGAGTGTTCGGGTTTCGCTTGAAGAAAAGGTGGCGACTCTAAGCCAGGCCCATGCATGTGTTCTGCACCCTCATATACCTGTATTTGTTTAGAAAGGTCGTATGCCATGCTTTGTCAGGCCCAGTTTAGAAGATTTTAACAAGCAGATGTGTGGCCTTGTCATCGATATATCTCTGTATCAGAAACAGTACAACTATAATAGCTGTAACATCTCCAAAGATGTTGCACATTCAACTAGCTATACATGGATCAATAAAAGAGAGCAAAGAAATGTCGTAGGTGACATTTGGGTTTTGCAAAGAACAAAAATTGCTTCTTTTTCTAAGCAGAAAAGAGAATCTGCATTGCATCACATCCATACAAAAAACTAGGAAGGAGATTGTGGCAAACAGGTATCTTACACAGCAATTTGTCAATAAGAATTCAACCCTTCTACAGATAACAGTTTATATATATTTTTTTAGGAAATATCACCATATGATATGTTAAAATGGTAGGGTTGATTTAGGTTAAAGATTCAGTCCCTCAAGACTAAAGAGTTTTAAGTTGATGCTGGTGTGATAAACCACCTGACAATTACTTGCATCTCTTAGGAACTTTGTCAGTGAAATCTCTGTGGTTGAGTTCCCTTATTCTGGCTTCCAGTCTGCCCATACCTTTATAACTTTGACACTCTTTCTTTATTGTAGAATCTTACCCCTGTCCTAGAAAGCCTGGGGCAAAGGCCCTTTATGGGACAACCATGAACAATTTACACTTAAAAAGGAACTTAAAATAGAACTATGGGGTAACCTTTTTATCCCATAGTTCTCTTAAGGGTCACGGGAAAACATATACTAGCGTTTTCCAGTGACCCAAAACTCAGTATATAGCGAGCTACAGCGAGCTACATACTGAGAGCACCGCAGCCAGGTCGGATCCCGACAATGCTGTCAAAATCCACTCAGCTGCGGGAGTGACAGGTGGCTCTGCCTTTCTAGAGAAAGAGCCAGCTGTGCCCGCCCCCTCACCCGTCCGTTTCTCCACTCAGCGCTGGTGGATCGGAGCGGGGAGGGATCCCTGCGGGGAGCGGTGACTGATAGTCATCACTCACTGCAGTGAGATGATTGGAAAGTGAGCGAGCGACTGTATGCTTTCGCTCACTTCCCGATCTATTGAGCCGACGTGTGACAGTTTCATTGTCACACATAGACTTCAACTATGAGGTTGAGTGAAAATCACTCACCTCATAGTTCTCCTTTAACTCTATGTTAAAAAAAAACCTCAGAGCATAGGCAAAGGTAAAAGAGAACTTGTCACCAGAATTGCATGTGGTCTCCATGTTGCTTGGTCTTTGTATGGGGTCAGCCATATTGGTAGAGGCAGGGCTAGTGACATCGCCAAATCTCACTCCAGATCCCATTTAGACATTACATTGCAGATATACAGTTATGAGGTTGTAGGTACAGGAGTATTTAGGCACATTCACATACCAGGACGTGTGCTGTTATTTTTCAGGAGGAAGTCAAGACAAAAGGCAGATCTTTCTAGGTCCAGCTTGTATACAATAAGCATTACAAATCTTCACTGTTCGAGTTCAGTATTACTTTAAATGTGTACGGCATAACATACAATAATTCTTCTAGTAAGGTACCTTTAACATGATTAGTAGGATTCGTAGTAATTTATACCATCAATATGTGTCAGCTTTAGTTTAGCACATAATCCTTTAAACTAGTAATACTTCTATAATATGTTTACTAAGGCCTGACAAATCAAATATACATAATCAGTTCTACTAAATTACATCCATTGACTGAGATGACTTTTTTGATTTATTTGTTGTCAACATATCATAATCAAATCAACTCTGACATGAACCAGCACAGGAGAACTACAGGGACATTTTGAATTTCTGTATAACTGGAATCTCTGTATAAAAAGATTTCTATAATTTACCTTTCCAGTCATGCGTTCTTCATATTCAGAAGAGTAAATACAACAAGCACAGCAGTCACCAATCAAGGCACATTATGATCATCATTTTAGTAGCAGTTTTCCCCATTGACATCCTATTAATGGGCATCTAATGTCTGTGGGTGGCTGAAATGGGCATATTATAATGCCAATCACCAAAGCCAATGCTGTTTATATGAATACTTTCCATCTAAATATGACAACGGGTTTCTAGCATGAGGATATTCAAGAGCTCTTTATAATTTACCGAATCTCGTTTGTGTAAATTGGTAATTAAATATTGCAAAGATTATTGCAAGAGATGCAAAGTCATCCTGTCTAAAATCAGCCCTAAGACAACAAGGAAAAGTATTTAACTTACATCTTCCATATAATAAATAATACTAGATTCTTTATATTGAGTACCTGAGTGTGGGTTTGATATCAATTATTCTAACTGTGAATCTGAGAAAATATCTAAGAATCCTCTAAAAGGCATATTAGGAAATAGATCTCTACTAAACAAACTTCAAGGATTGGTCCCAAGCTGCGAGTACATTCTTTCACAGTTATATACAGTGGAATTCAGCACTGCATTAAATAAAGGTTTTATCATTTCCAGCTTTATTGATAGGGAACCCTCAATATCACTGTTCCTTCTATCCTTTTTGGCAGCCATACAGCACATGCCCATGAGGATGCACTCATAATGGAAAGAGTAAAGCCTAAGACAGTTGGCCTCACTAGTATCAAAGTTCACAAGTCTTCCCCATGATGCTTCCCCATGATGCTGCCTTCCGCAAAATCCACATTCATCTTTCATCTTCCTAATCGGAGGTATTTCCTTGTTTATTTATATCGCTTTTTGCCCTTTTTTGAATAATAGGTGATCATGAAGACTGAGACTATGAAGATAAAACAAATAAAAGCCACAAAAGCTAATAAATATTTTCTGGTCTGAAAAAAATGACAGTCTGTACATTCAAAAATCTCTTCTAGACAGGGGGCAGGTGTGGCTTCAACAGCTGGAAAGCCATTATTGTCTATGATTTTTCTGTATAAGATTTTGGAATCTTTAGCCTCGTACTTATTTGCTACATATTTGAACAAGCCAAACTGAGGGTCCATCTTGTCTGTGAAAGCATAAGCAAAGTATCCACGGAGATTCACTCCATCTATTAGAGTTGCTGAAAGACAAATAAATAATATATATATGCATTACAATAGGTTCATCTGTACTGTGTACAAATAGTACATTATACTTAGATGTAGGTTCTGTAACTATGCACTGTGACAGTGGAACTTTCAGACATGTGGCTTGATATACGGATAGGAGCAGATTCATGTCCTTATAATGAGACATTACAATCATACAGAATATGATGAGGTATGTAAAAGATCACAAATTCCTAAATTTACATGGACATACAGCATTAGTTAAACAATGTTTTTTTACTCGTCATCACATTAATCAGAACACTTAGATTGTATCTGTTCTAATAACCAGCATTCTGGTTGTAGAATTACCACAAGGAAATAACGAGTAGATCTTGGTAGGACCAATTGTGGTGGCACGTTTTTAAAAGCATAATAAGCAAAATGTGCTATGCAAATGTGCTTCAGGACTTAATTAGTGAAAGGGAAAAAATCCAGGAGGAGGAGAGCCCAGTCACATGATCTACTTGAGTCATTTGCCCAGCCTCTTCTCCAATCATGGAGTGCTCTTTGAAGCTTTATGCACAGAAAACCCTATGGGACAGCACAGGTTTCACACTGCACACTGAATTTCATGTACATAGTTGCCAAATGTCAATTGTAGCAGTCTTGGAATTTTTGACACAGTCCCACACTGTTGCATGCTACACTGAGCAGTAGATTCAAGGGTGCAATGGTGCCTCTCTACTCTCTCTCTCTCTCTCTCTCTCTCTATATATATATATATATATATTGTGGCATTGCGTGGCAATACCACTGTGTTATGTGGCCTCAAAGTGACCCAGGATTCTCAGCCAGAAGGGCTTAGTGGCTCCAGTAAGAAAATATGTGTACCAGGAAAGCACTGCCTTTTCGGTCCTTAGCTTGTTTTCTGGATCTTAGTTGGGATCCTGGAGCCAGGAGATTTCTTAGAGCTCTGGGTGGGAGGAAATCTCCAGTCCTGGGTCCGTGGGTTAGTAGTGACCAGCACCTTATTGTACACCTGTGCACATCCCTCATGAAGAGTGTGCTGGGATGTGTTCAGGGCCCCACCTGTGAGTCAGGAGAACTCCACCCAGGAGTCAGAGTGGAGGCCAGTGCAGCAGGGTGCTGCGGGTTCGTGATACCTATTGTGCGGGTTTGTGATACCTATTGTGCGGGTTAGCACGTTACTGGGGTTATCTGGTGGTGACAGACAGTGGCCCTGAGGATTGAGGCCAGGAGCAGTAAGAGAGAACTGTTACAGGACTGGGACACTGTGAGTGTGTGGGACACCTCGAGGATTGGTGAGCCCATATATGTTATATGCTAGAGACAAGCTATTTATGTTGGACTCCCTTTACAGTCTGCCTTTTGAAAAAGAAATAAAGACTTTTTGTTAATGGAAAAGCTGTGCGAGTGATCTGTGAGCTCCCCAACATCACAATATATATATATATAATTTATTTATATCAGGTTGCCTTTGCTGACTGGCAGTTGTTGAAAAACAGCTCCACTATAAGGTCTATAGCCACAGCTGCCGACCTCTTCTGCTACCCTTGCAGATGCCTGTCAGACCACACCACTTGAGATCTGACAGGCAGCTGCAGGGGGAGCATAAGGGGTCGGTCAGCCGTGGCCATAGGACCGTTTAGTACAGACATTCTCTACATGTCCTATTCCACACCGTCTCATTCTGCACATTGTGCTGTACATTTTCTATTCCACACTGCCTCACTCTGTATGCTAGGCTGTACATATCTCGTCCTACACAATCTAATTCTGTAATCCATGGAACATTATACAAGTGCAGGGTAATGGTAGGAAGTAAGTTCCAGAAAATCAAATTCTCCTTGAACCCAGTGCTAAGGCCATGGAGGACAGTGAAAGCTCAAAGCGTGGTTGAGACCACAAGTCTGAGGTATGTAATAGAAGGCTAAAGACAAAGGGCCTTAAGTATTAATGTGTCCTTACCAGACCTGGAGTTCTCCCCAGTTACAAATCAGTATCAGACAGTCCCTGAAAGTTTAAATCTGATAGGTAACCATGAGGAAATACCTTACATTCTTAGTAAGAATATATTGATATCGGTTAAAGTGTGTGATGAAACCTATGAAACAAGAAGTGGTCTTGAGCAGTTTGGATCAGATTGTTTTTTATTAAAAAAAAAATTGCTTCTACTGCATTTGTGCAATTCTGTATTGAACTAACAAAAGTTCAATACAGTTCCCTTACAGTAGTGACATGAAGAATATAGGGCCTGCCATTACTAAACTTACTCAGCATACTAGCTGCCTAGCTGTTGTGCTGACCATTTGTACGTCACTGACTAGGACAAGCATGCAGACCAGGAAAGTTAGACCATATTATCTGCAATCTGCTCATGGGAGCCAGGTAGTTGTAATTTTCAGGAACTGTGTGGACTAACTTGTGTTGGAAACAGTTTCCCTACTTATGTGCAAACATGCTACTCAGAGTTGCAAATTTACTTGGAGACTTTTACAATCACTTTGGAGACAGCAAAAAATACAGAAAATTAATGTTTTGGCTTTACCTTTTAAGGCCTCATTAATATAGTGCTGCATGTAGTAGACCCGTAATTTATCTTCTAAGTGGCCATCATCAATCCCATTTGCTAGGATATATATTGGGATATCTCCATATTTGGATTTTACCCAGTTTAAGATTTTTCTCAGTCCCCATGGAACAACAGCGTTATTGTGTGCTGACTGCAGAAAGGTTCGATCCATAATAAATTGCACCTCCAGGCCATGGTCATATCTGGCTAGGTCCTCCACCTCCCAATGCACAAGCTCTGTTGTATAATGAGTCAAAGCAAAGAAGTCAAATGTCCCTCGGATCATACGCTTCTCTTCTTTTGTAAAAGTGGGCAAGTGAAAGTCAAAGACATTATGATTGTTCCTTCGGCTGTACCATTCGCGCATTATTTTAGGATAGTCCCCATTGTTAAATATTGGCTCTGCTAGCCGACCAATCTCAAACTCTAAAAACCTCTCACTGGTGTTGTTGTCATTCTTAGAAAATGGAGAAGCTGGTTCCACCCAGTCGGCGTGAAGAGCCAGGGAGATTATCCCTTTCTGTGATTTTCTGAATTCTCGATCGTACAAATGCCAAACTGCCGCATGGGCCTTCAAAAGGTTGTGCCCAGCTTTTGAGGTGAGATTTCTCACCGGGGGCTCATGCATGGTTATCCACATGCTTACAAACTTGCCAAGTTCTCTAAAACATAGCCTAGCATACTCTAGGAATGCCTGGACAGTGGTAAAGTTCTCCCACCCTCCCATTTTATAGAGAGCAAAAGGAATTCCTTGGTGTTCAGCCATAGACTGCCATAAAGCAACTACTGGTGTAATATTGACACGGACAAGTTCACTGAGGAAACAACGGTAGTAGTGTATAATTGTGTGGTTAATTTGAGAAATGTTCTCTTTGGAAATTACAGAGGTCCATTCCAGGGCGAAATAGAAGTGGGAGATGTGCATGGAACGTAGCATGGATATCTGAAGCCTAATAGATGCAAAGTCAGCACAATGGATTTTTCTTTTAGGAAGTTTGACGCCATCCACTTTCGTGAGACCTTTCGTCCTATACATGTCCCATATATAGACACTTGGGTCATTGAATTGAGATGGCATTGTGTCAATCTGGCAGTGGAAAGAAAAAAAAGCATTGTTAAAATTTAGTGAACCGTCACTACAAAATCCTACAGTATAGCCTACAGTTGCTCACGACAAACATTTCAATCTGATTGTTCAACCTCCTTCTACCAGCAACTAATTAGTGCAAGAGCCTGCCTGACTGAATACAAATTGATACTTCAGGTAGGACCTCATATTACATTTTGGTACATTTAAAGTTGATTGTGGAAAGAATGTATGGTCGGATTGAAAAGTATATGGTGAACCTAAGATGGTGTACACACAATGAAACAGAGATCTTTCACTTTCTGATGCCTCATTGCTATTGTTGGAAGATGAATGTCTGCACTGCATGCAAATAGCTGAATGCGTTATTATTATTATTATTAATATACAGGATTTATATATTGCCAACAGTTTGCCCAGCGCTTTACAATATAAGGAAGAGATTGCAATTACAATACAATTCAAGACAAGATGGTAAGGAGGGCCCTGCCCCTGAGGGCTTACAATCTAGAAGGGAGGGGCAAGTGATACATGAGGAGATAGCTGTGTGGGGATAAATTGTTTTAGAAAGTGATATTTCAGTGGTTAGGTTGAGGTCGGATAAGCTTCCCTGATGAGATGAGTCTTAAGGGATCGCCTAAAGGTAGTCAGAGTGGGAGATAGACGGACAGGTTGGGGTAAAGAGTTCCACAGAATGGAGGAGACTCTAGAGAGCAGGAGGTCTTGGGAGGAGCGTAGGGGACGGTTAGGGTGATACTTTGAGACAAGGTTTTGAGAAATAGGGGCGTTGTGAATGGCTTTGTAAGTGGTTGTTAATATTTAGAATTTTATCCTTTGGGCGATTGGAAGCCAGTGTAGTGATTGACCGAGGGGGGGTTGCAGACACTGACGGTTGGTTAGGTGGATAAGTCTGGCAGCAGCATTCATGATAGACTGAAGGGGAGATAGCCTGTGTAGAGGAAGGCCAATGAGGAGGGAGTTACAATAGTCAAGACGAGAGATAACAAGGGAGTGAATGAGTTGTTTTGCGGTTTCTTTGGTGAGGAAGGGGCGGATTTTGGAGATGTTACAAAGGTGAAGGCGGCAAGATTTGGATAGTGATTGGATGTGGGGAAGAAAGGTGAGGTCCGAGTCAAGGATGACAATCAGCAGCCTGGCATGGGGGGAGGGTTGGATGGTTGTGTTATCAACCATGATCGAAAAGTTGGGGGAGGGTGCGCGGCGGGGAGGAAATACCATGAGCTCAGTTTTTGAAAGATTGAGGTTTAAGAAATGTTGTGACATCCAGACTGATATGTCAGTTAGTAGGTTAGTGATACGTAAGGAGACTGAGGGGGTGAGTTGTGGAGTAGAAAGATATATTTGAGTGTCATCGGCATAGAGATGGTATTGGAAGCCATGTGAGGTGATCAACTGACCAAGAGAGGAGGTGTAGATAGAGAAGAGAAGGGGTCCAAGGACAGAGCCTTGGGGAGCCCCGACAGACAGGGGAAGAGGAGAGGAAGATGTAGATTTGTAGGTTACACTAAAAGAGCGCTTAGATAGGTAGGAGGAGAACCATGAGAGAGCAGAGTCTTGTATGCCAAGCGAGTGGAGTTTTTTGAGGAGCAATGGGTGGTCAACTGTGTCAAAAGCAGCAGAAAGGTCTAATAGCAAGAGTATGGAGTAGTGGCTGTTGTTTTTAGCTGTTTTAAGGAGTTTGGAGGTGAAGGGGAGTAAGGAGATAGGTCTGAGATTGTTGAGGTTGGTGGGGTCCAGTGAAGGTTTTTTGGGTATTGGGGTGACCAGTGCATGTTTTAGAGGGGAGGGAAAGATGCCTGAGGAGAGGGAAAGATTAAGAGGGTTGGAAAGGGAAAGGGAGAGGGTTGGAAAACATTACCAAAATTGTTCATTTTTTCCTGCTAAAGATAGGCTAACCTGGTACTAGGCTGTACTCGTGGGTAGTATGCTTGCTTAAAATGCACAGAATGTTGTGAGATAGCACAAAATGCACTGAATATTGGATCTTGTGGTAGTAAGATCGTTTGGTTCCAAGCAATGTTGCCTAATTAAGAGTACCCTCTTTAGATTACATTACAATTAATTGTTTATAATAGCAGATAAGCTCTAGACACTAGGACATCAATTAGATAATTTGGTAAATCACTGAGCAGACACAGTTTGCTGCAGTGTTGAGTAAGCAGAGATAGGCTGAAGCCTATAGAGCACCGGTGGTCAACTTACTTGACATAGCGGCCCTCAAGTACAGCCCCTGACATCACTGAAGAACCACTCATAATATTAGGTGAATGTAATGCTAAAAAAAGCTGTCAAAGATTGTAGACAGGCAACAGGAGATGGTCAGAGGCTACTGCATGCTACAGGTGATGGTAAGAGACTACAAACATGCCATAGGAGTTGTTTAAGATTGGAAACAGTCATAGAGGGGAGACACATTACATGCTCAGCTAGTGATCACTGCTAGTAAAGAATGTCCCAAGAGGCACAAACCTCCTAGACAAAGGGGCACATGAGTGGGTGGGTGTCAGGATTCAGATCTGAACCCAGGGTTTTTGCTGTGTCTGGCACTGACTCTTCCTGCTTAGCCACCTGGAACTCTGGATAGCTCCTTGCCTGAACTCTTGTGCAATCTTGTGCAGTTTTCTGCTGAACTCCTTGTTCCTCCCTTGAACTTCCTATTTAAGCCATGCCTCTGCATTTTCTGTTTGCCAGATCATTGTACTCCTGCCAATATCTTGCTTCCGGTTGTTACTGTTTAACTGCATTTCTATACCTCTACCTGTGTACCGAACCTTGGCTGCTGATTCACTGACTATGCTTATTGCTTACAATTTGAACCTTGATACCCCTGGCTACTGACTTTGGCTTGATCACTTACAATGCTTCTGCCTGCTCCTATACTGCTACCACCTGATTGTGTACTGAACCTGGTGTATACTATGAACTTGCCTGCTGTTTCAGCTACTGGACTCTGTACCTGATCCCAGATCGTGACAATGGGCTGATAGAGAAGGAAATGATTGTTCCACCTCCCTTCCGTATTTTTGCTTTACAGATTAAAACATGCTTTGGATTTTTGGATATGGGGGGGGGGTAATTTTTTGAAATTTGGGGAGGAGTCTCTTGTCACAGCACTGGCGAGTTCTGACGGTGCCAAAAAGGAACAAGAGTATTTGGTAAGATTTTATTTGCGATTGGTTGTTATATGCAACCATCACATAAACTATTATTGAGTATCATGGGAGTTGAAGGAGGGGGGACTCCTATTGTATGGCAAAGTTTTTGAAATGTATCATTGTGGTGTGTACCCACTTAGCTGGTGTATAATGGCTGGTGGCTGGTAAGAGTAACCAATGAATCGTAGTTGTGATGGTAATTGCCATGTCAAGGGCCCGCTTCATTGACATCACAATTGCTTGATGTTTTCGGTAATTTAGAATGTTGTTGTTGTTATTATGATAACCTTAAAAATGTTAACTCAATTTTATGTTTTAATGCTCTGGCTAAGAAATATTCTAAAGAAAAATCTGTGTTTTTTTGTGTTTATTTATGGAGTAGTGCTGGGGCGTGGTTCTAAGGGAGCAGTCAATCTTGGTAATCATCTGCTTTGATATTTAGCCCTTCCCAAGTTGAGCCTATTTACAAATCATTGCTTTCACATTTTTGCTCCCTACAGTCCACTTAAAAATTACTTGTACCACATGTTTTATCTTTCTAAGCAAGTTTCACCCAGATCACTTGTACTAGCCTGCTGTTGTGCCCCCCTCCCCTCACCCTGGTTTTCAGGTACTCGCAATTCTGGGAAGCCCGGGACCACAGCAAACAGTGTCAGGATGGAGAGCAGGAGCAGACCATGGAACGTCTATTCCTCTATCTGCTCTGTGATCACTGAAGCCTGAAGTCACCTGAAGTGCCAGGTAAACATAAAGATCAAGCACCTCTCACCTTCAAATGCTGTCACATAGGGGCTTGTTAGCTCCTTTGTGATAGCAAAAGTTAAGAGAAAAAAAATAGAAAAGGTGATAAAGTAAAAAACAATAAAATAGAAATATAACCCTGCCGCACTGGCCATCTGATTCTAATGAACACTTGCGCGTAAGGCATGCACGCTTATGTAATCAGGGGGGGGGGGACGACGTAGGGACGTAGTAGTGCAGTTCCGTGGTCAGGCCACTGCATTACAACGCACAGACGTCACACCACGATCCCTCACGTGTGATGTTACCAAGGCAGACGGCCCCAACACCGTGACCAGAGCAGCTCCTGACACACACATGCGGTGCCATACAGAACCTTGATTCCGAGGCACAACCACATTAGAGAAACACTAGAAACATGCCTATGGTCCCAGCAGATACAGAGAGTGACGTCTCCGCACACCGCAGCTACTAGGAGGGGGACAGAGTGACCACCACAGAGGTGAGCGACGCTTCTGTGCGCCATGACAATATGCTAATAGTCACATGCTGATGCACTTGTTACCTCACCAGAATATGCCTACATATAAACCTCAGGTTCTGTTCATCAGGATATAATTTTCAGTTCTGATAAATTAGGAAGGGTTTTTTTCAATTAGATCACTGCCTTCCAGGTCATGTGTTTCATTCCAGATCAAAGAGGTTCTGATTTTAATTTCTGCAGCTTTGTGTGACTGAAGCTTTGGACTAAGTTGTGCAGTAAGGGGTGAGTCACTGCTGATGAGTCATTTACTTTTTTCTGTAAATGTCTGCTTGAGCTATTGAATCCTATAAACATCAGGCTTTACAACAATGAGAGGGCCTGGAAAATGTGGAGGGGGGCCTAAATCTCCACCTGCTGTCTCAAAAGAAAAATGCAAAAATTATTTATTAAAATATTCACCTTACTAAAATATATATTTTTTTATTCCTAACCATTAAAAAAGAATGAAATTAGGTCTAAAACCACTATATATTCCCAGTATACAGAAGCAGAGCCGGTATCTCTGTTAAACTAGCAGACTTGGTGGCACAAAGATCAAATGTGACAATTTCCAATCTGCACACTTCCAGGTGTGTCGACACTATGCTCCCTTCACATTGTGGTTCCTACAGTATACAGTATATAATTCAGTATTCCACACATCTGGAAATGTACTGGCTGGAGTACTGCAGCACGGTGAAGTTTTAGGACATGGACATCTTCTTCTATTACAGGGTGGCTTTCGTTTCAGTTGGACAGCTTTATGACATGGTCACTTTAATATTACTAAGACTCTAGATGCCAGGAAATAAAAAGGCCATCAAATTAAGTTTGCACGGTTCAGCAGAGTGACAACTGTGTGTTTCAAAATACTGCTACCCACTATACCACCTAATAATCTCCTAAAATTATTATTATCTTATTTCAATAATAATATAAACATTTCATATGTATAAAATTGTATATTGTTGTTGTTTTTTTTGTTTGGAGGCCCTTTCATTGGTGGGGCAGCTGCTGGTTTGAACATGGGCAATCACAGCTTAGAAAATAATTATACAGTTTTTATGGCTGAGTTATTTCCCATAAAACAAAACAAAAAATACAACATATGTAGCCAACTAAAGAGAGTTCCAGGGCGAACAGTGGAAGCATGGCATTGAACTGCGTGAGCACTTTTCTAATGTTTGATCCGTTTGGAAATAGTAAGGTTTATTATTATTAATATCATTATTATTATATAGAAAAGTAGTCTAAGAGGTCAGGCAATTAACAAGGTTGCAACTATCAAGATGTCAGATGACCTCTGACCCCAGGTTTTCTAAAGCGTCATTCACAGACTAATTAAGCTAAGCTTAAAAAAGGGACAAGTAGAAACTGATAACAGACAAGTCTGTGCAATTCTAATAATTAATGTGTAACTGTTTCAGTCGGCTGTAAAAAGATCTGACATACGTGTATTCTGCATGCAGTAACTCCCCATGCAAAATTGCAGGGAAAGGTTCCTTGAATTAGCTGATATTCTTGTTGTGGAGGGAATCCATTTTTCCTAATCAACTGCTGATAAAATAAGGCCGAGGATTTAGGGAGCAGCTTTTTGTTGTGACTTCTAAAATCCACATAAAACAATCCACGGCGAATCAGGTACCCTCTGTGCCACTCAAATCCATCCATCAGAGACCAGGCCGTGTAGCCAATGACATTCACTCCATCTGTCCTAATGGCTAAAAAAGGAAGAGAAAGGAACAAGTATAATTTCATACTTTCAACAAAATAATAATAATAATAATAAATGCTGACCCTTTTACTTTTTAAGTTGCACATTCAGTCTGAAAAAAAGCATTTAAAAATGCACCTACAGCATAAATGGAATTACAAGGTTTGGCTTTAGTTCTCTTTTAAGTGTAAAGGTGCCTCTAGTAATTGCAGCAAAATTAATTTTGCTACAACTACTCTGCTCATCCCTATTGTGAGGAGACTATACTAAAACTGTGCTCAGTTGACTCTGGGACATGAGACGCTTTTTGTTGTTCAGGTTGCACTCTTCTTATAGAGACCTAGAGTTTACCTCTGGCAATGATGTACCAAACTAACATATGCAGCACATGGCTAACAGCAAACAGCACCAAGTATCAGTGCATATATTTCTGTTCATGATCTGTCAGTGCTGCACAGTTCAGGACCCCCTCCAGGACTATCTCTAATAGGTATGTCTTGCAACTTAATCTCACACTGCAATGCCCTATGCCTCAGGAACCTATCATCAATCAGGTCATGACACTGCTGCATAAAACACATGGAAAATAGTGACCATGAGAAAGTTGCATTGGGTGAGTCTGCACTGACACATCATAAGACTAAAGGTTGGTGCTAACAGCATATGTTGTCAGGTATATTCCACTAATGAAAGGGTTTTTGTTTTTTTTTTACTTTTTTCTTTGATACAAAAAAACTGCAATAGGCATCAAATGTGGTTAAAATAAGTTGAATGAAACAAAAGTGACACATTTCCAAAAACTGCAGAAAACCTCTAATAAAATCATCTGTTGGAGAATTGCTTTTTATGGCTTTCTTTAATTTTACCCTTTAAAGTTTCCATGACAAACTTCTTGAGATAATACATAAACTTTGCATCCTCTTGCTTTGTGATTTCGGCGAGGAGCCAGCCATTCTCCACAATAAATATTGGCGGTTTGTTGTATTCCATAGTTATCCAGTATAAGAGCTTGCGAAGGTTAAGAGATTCTGTTTGTCGGAACATCATGTCCACATCCAACAACTGGAAACTTAAGGCCGGTCCAAAAGACAGGGCAAAGAAATCAGCCGTCCCTTTGTTAAACCTCTTCTCCTTCTCTGTGAACTCCGGCAGCAAGGAGGAAAGGTTGCTCTTCATTGACGGAGGATAATCACCATCTAGAAAGATTGGCATTGCGAACCATCCTAACACAAAATCTAGGGACTTGCGACATTCACGAACGTTATCTTCTGACATGTTATCTTTGTCTGGGTCTATCCAATGAGAAGCCAGTGCTATTGATACCAGACCTTTTTGCGTGGAACGGAATTCTTTGTTGTAGAGATGCCACACAGATGCATGAGCCTGTTATAAAAAGAGAGCTGTTTTATTACCAGGTTATCCTATGTGTCAAGTTTATAATTTATTACAATCTATTGGTGGTAAAGCGTAAAGGCAACAACTGGCTATAGACATGATAAAGTGGTTTATCATCGTCATGCACAGCACAGGAAACCTACATTGGTGCAGCTTGGCTTGATGTAAGTATCTGTATTTGATCTCACGAGGGCTGGTGATGCTGAAAATCACTGTATAGTCCACTCTACATACTGTGGTAACCGTGAACTTTCAGGTGCTACTCCAGCATCTTCAAGCATGCTTGTGCACATATGATGAGACGACTTACTTTAACATGGATAACAGGAAACGATAATACTGTTGGCTGGACATGGATACCTGCCACTAGCAAATGCAGCTTTATCCTGTCAGGAGTACTTAAACCCAATTACAGTTAATTATTTTTTTTTAACACACATATTAAAAACTGAATTTGTGGCTAGAAAAGCTTTTAAAACCCCCAAATAATGATATATTTTTCAGAATCAAAAGCCCTGTAGAATAAAAAAATGTTAGTTGCAATTTTTTATGTTGTAGGATATATGTGCAAATGTTTATGTCATTGATATTTTTAAGGGGAAAAAACACTAAAATGAATTCTAGTGTACACATACACAATATAATACAAAATGTTTTGCTGAAAAATTATTTCACCAACTTTCACATGAATATACTTACTAAGAACAGTAAAACAAATGATGTTTACAAAATACTCAATGTATTGCACAGCTGAATATGTAAATCTTGATGTTCGTCTTACAAAAGGAAATTTTAGTAGAGCTCAGTGTAACATTAACTTGATCGATGGTAGTGAGTCCAGCACATATTTTGATTTAGTTTTTACAAGGATTCTGTTCAAAGTGCAGCATGTACAACAAGTCTTTGACGCCTAGCCAAATGTGTTTTTATCTGTTACAAACTGCATGGCGTTGTGTCTGTAACCTTTTGTGATCGTCTAGACGCTGTCAAGGAAAATGTTGAGGCTGAAATCTCCAAGCATGGGAGCTGAGTTTTAAATTTTAAATCACTACCCTGGTATATAGCAATTAATCAAATGAGGGTGGGTATGCCTGGAGTTAGCCTATTCCTCTTTAAATGGGCATACATGTCCTCAACTGTATACTGTTATATATGCTCCAAGATGGAGGCTCTCAAAGATTAGAGTTAGGACCACACTACACAGATGGGCCTTGATGACGTTGTTTTTGTTGCAGGCTAGCTGGTAACTATACTGGTAAATGTTTGTTTTTGTACTGTGCAAAGCCCTTCCATGTGGACCTTACTTTGCAATGCATGTCATACAGTTTATGCTTTGCACAGGTTAATGTGCACACTCCATTACAGCTGTGTATCCACCAATGGACCCTTGTACATACATATTGGTATACTGAAATGGACACAGCTCTTTTTTTTAGAAGACAAATCATTTCCTACAAACCAAACTTAGCTGAACATTTACTGAAGAACTGGTCCAAATATCATTAGACACCAGACACTAATATATTATCTACTGGACAGCTATAGCACTGCAACCATGTTTGCTTGGCAAGTACACTGCCTGGCCAAAAAAAAAGTCACCACTTGGGTTTAGCTAAGCAATCTGGTAAGAGCCTTCTACTGGATAATAGGCCTAGGTTCAGAAACGTTATGCCACAAAAAGAGTGGAAGAGTGGTTCAGGGACCAAATGATACATAATTTTCGCACATGGATTGGCCACCACAGAGTCCAGCCCTTAATCCCACTGAGAATCTTTAGGTGATGAAGAAGACTTTACACAGTGGTCTGACTCTCTCATTATCACTGCAAAAGATCTTGGTGAAAAAAGAATGCAGCTCTTGACGGAAATAAATATTGTGAAATTGCATAAGCTTATTTAAAAAAGGCCACGGCAAATGCATGCCGTAATCAAAGCTAAAGGGGGTCCAACTAAATTTTAGAGTGTGTGATGTTTGTTTTGGCCAGGCAATACATTAAAGGAGAACTATGGGGTTCTATCTTTTTTTTATGAATGCATTCCTTAGGCTAAATAAGTAAATAATGTAATTTACTGTAATTAGCCAAAATGCACAGTAAGGCTGTAAAACCTTATTTAAGGTGGTGGGCGGGGCTAAGCACCGCAATGAGAAGGCATCCCGACGGGATCCTCCCCGCTGATGATTGACAGTGATTCTTGAGAGCTGCTGCACGTCCACGAATATATGGACATGCGCAGCAGCTCTCTCCTTACCTGCACGTCCCCGTGTGCCAGCCGGGCTCCTTCCCCCCCTCTCTCTCTCTCCCTGCTGACACTGACATACTAAAACGATATGGACTTTCCGATTTGTAGTAAATGCTGAAGAGAGAGAGAGAGCTCCTTCCCCTCTGTCATCAGCGATTTACGATGATTTTCATGTATAAAATGTTTACCGGGGATAGTAACATTAGCAGTAACTTTTTACAATTAACTCCATGACAACAACGAGAGGCCACCACTTAAAATTGGTGGAGAAAAATTTTCAGCACAAGGGGCTTCTTATTATTAGATCAGTCAAGGTCTGGAACTCGCTGCCACGTGCTGTGATTTCGTCTGAGAGTGTGCAATCATTCAAGAGGCGATTGGACGATTTTCTCAGGGATTGTAATATACAGGGGTACAAGTACTCTTAAGATTGAGAACACACAGGGACCTAAACATACTACACACCAATAGGACCATACACATACACAAATAGGTTGGACTTGATGGGCATATGTCTTTATTCAACCTCAAATACTATGTAACTATATATAGCAGGGGTGCCTACAGTAGGTCACAAGAGTGGATGAACAGAATTACAATTTTTTTAATAGGTAAGACAGTTCATATATACTGTTAGATAGAATAAAACTGCGCTAGGTATCAAATAGCACTCTAAAAGCATCTGTGCTTAATAGGTGAGTACATCCAAAATAGGAAAAAAGAAAATGGCACTGTGCTTCACAAACTCAAAAAATATTCCTATAATGTGAAGGAAAAAAAAGTATGAATTGTGAAATTGTCGCAAAGTGATAAACAATTTTCTGTAATACACAACACCTATGTTGCACAATGCCTGTGCTGATGATAGTAAGAAAAAACTCTAGGTCCAATGGTCTAGACACTATAAACCATAATAAACATAGAAGAAAAAAAAAAGATGTGCTAGTACATCTCATAGAATGTGTACATATAGAACATCCTATGTTAAATCTCACAAGTGATGTACAACTCCCTCTTAATCTACATATTCATATGTGAAGTCCATTACTTCTTGATGCAATAAAGTCCTTGAAACATGTGAGGATATATCTTCCAACTTTTATAATCCACACCACGCCCGTGAATGCATAAACAATTATTGAATCAGGTCTTATGTTTGGATCACTCTGTGTTTGACTGTTTGTTGCTTATGCAATTTAATTATCTCCTGGGACGTCTCTGTGTCATTACACATATCATCCCTCCCATTCAAGCTATCGGACCAATCCCTGCTGACCCTGTTTCAAGTCCTCATTTGCTTGGCCAAGAGGACCCAAGTGAAGACTAGAGGGTACTTTACAATTGACCAATAGGGAGGTGGTTGTTTGGGCGGAGTGTTCAAACTGCTATGTATAAAAGTGTGTTGTGTGCATCCAATAAAGGAGATTCCTGTTTGAACTTACATACAGCCTGCCTGGTGTTTGTTCTGAGCTATTACAACTGGATTCAAACGGCACATAGCTGTAGTTCGAATACCGGAGCATCGGACGACCGGAAAATCAGACGTTGCGGTCTGATCCAGTAGTAGCAGAGGAGTGCCGGGAGAGTGGAACAGAGCGAGCAGGGGCTCGTTTCACCCTGAAACAGAGCAGAGTTGGATTTGCAGATATGGACAGAGACTAGCAGGGTCATTTAAGGCTTTTGAATCTAATCACATATGTTATTTTAATCAGCAGCAAGAAACACTTATCACCTCTGAAGAATTATCAAGAAGAGATAATGAAGCCATGACTTTGATCTCATTCTGAAGGCAGATTTTTATTAGAAGGTCAAGGCATTAAAACATCAATAAAAAGCAATCTGAACCCATTAGGAACAAATGGCTGATAAAGGAGATATTTGTATGATAGAGTACAATGAATGTAAGAGGTCACGCTACATTCTGAGAATCACACATGTATGCATGTCATACAACACTCATCAGTGACCATTAGGACCAGGCCCGGATTTCCCACAAGGTCACCGAGGCCCGGCCTCGGGGCGGCAGAGCGCAGAGGGGCGGCAGCGGTGACCTTGTGGGGAAGTTGCGGGCGCCGGTGTAGGGTGTCCGGCGGCCGCACACTACGGTCCGCCGCCGTCCAATCACGACGGGGCGGCCTGAGGCTCCGCCCACCGGCTCCATCTGGTTGCCATTCTCAATTGATGGGGAGGGGGGCTTAGTGACATTCCTACTTTGTGTAAATGATGATCATATACATTATGGGGGTTGCTTTACTAAAGGCAAATAGGCTGTTCACTTTGCAGAGGAATTTTCCATTTAGCTTAGTGAATGTTGTTGTGAAAATTCACGTTGCAAAGAATATCCAATCAGATGCAAGGGAAATAAAAAATAGTATTTTATTTTCCACATAATTGGATGATGGAAATCAGTAGAGCTTTACCATATTCACTAAGCTAAGGGAAAATTCCCCTGCAAAATGAACAGTTTATTTGCTTTAGTAAATCAATCCTATCAACCCCATCTCTATAGCTCATGGATTTCTGCAGGAAGATCTGATGCAGGGGCGTATTTACCGCGAGGCAAAGTAGGCGTTTGCCTAGGGCGGCACCTTCCTGGGGGGCGGCCGTAGTCAAACGATGATGCCATTTATTCCTGCATTTATGCATGCTTCTGTAGCCCCATTACCTTCTGTGAGGTGGCTACTAGACATTGTGGCAGCAGGCTGATAAAAATGTCTGGGTCTAGCCAGAATGCAAGAGATGTATATG